CACCTCCCAGTCACCACATCCTTGGCAGCCAAGCTGCTTCACCTATCCCCATGCCCACGGGGGAAAGCTGGCCGTAAAGGCCCAGACATGATACCCAATACTTTAATACAATAAGCAAAATCTCCAACACCTGCCTCCCTGGCTCCTGCTGGAGATTTCTCTCCTCCATCCCTTTGTTTGACCCCATGAATGGCAAACCGAGTTTAAAAAGCAAATCTAAAATAATTCAACCATGAAAAAGGAAATGCCTATGCTTTTCATATTTGGTTTTGTTTTGTTTTTTCCCTCTGCAGAGACGCGTTGGCTGAAATGGTACCTATTAGAAGCCTGGAACAAATAATCGTTTATGGCTACAACTGAAACCTCAACTCTATACCCTCAGAAAGGCCCCTCTCTGGTTTCCAAGCTCCAAGAGGTCCCAGTTGGGTACGTCGTAACTTGACCTTCTCACAGGCAATAAGCAGCTAGCACACGACGTACATCAAGAAGATATGATTGGGGCGCCTGGGTGGCTCAGTGGGTTAAGCCTCTGCCTTCAGCTCGGGTCATGATCTCAGGGTCCTGGGATCGAGCCCCACATCGGGCTCTCTGCTCAGCAGGGAGCCTGCTTCCTCCTCTCTCTCTGCCTGCCTCTCTGCCTGCTTGTGATCTCTCTCTGTCAACTAAATAAATAAAATCTTTAAAAAAAAAAAAAAAAGAAGATACGATTTTTCAAAAGAATATTAGGTAAGGAAATGCTCTCATTTATCAGTCACCCGTAAAAATTGGCACATAGGAAATTACAAAACAAGTCATCAGTCACCCCAAATTCTCTATAGGCAGCAGGGTTTTAAATGGGGCTTTCTTCAGGGAACCTTTGTGACCATGTTCCTATGACGCCTATTTCCCGTTATATCACTCAGCACACAGCGTGAGTGGTGTTTATTTTAAGTTCGCCTTCCCCACCAAGACTGTACACACCATGAAGACAGGAATCATATGCCCTACTTAACCACTATATCCTTGGGACACTGCACGATGTTGAGTATGGAAGAAACTTTTAAAATCTGTTGAATGAACTGTCCAAAGAAATTAAACAGCATCAATATCTCTTTCTGCTTTTCTTCTTTACTTGCCCTCACTCTTCCCAGTCTATTTTCAGCTCAACAGCACAGTGCCATCAACTGGGACATGGCTCCGTCTTTTCTCTTTGAAGTTCATAGAGATCCCGGAGAAACTGAACAGGCAGGAATTGGGAGGTATACAATCATGGCTAGGCCATGTCAGAAACTTGCAGTTAGGAGGCAGAGAAACCCACTGGAGGGAATGTTAGCACTCTTGGACATATTTCTTGAATTCAAAGGCAGAAGCAGAGCCAGCTTCTGGAGATCAGGAGGAGGAGGAGAAAAACCTTCAGGCATCACCTGTTTTGCTTTCTTTCCCTCTGGAGCCAAGTGGTCCTTCCTCTCTGATTCATACTTCCTTTTAAGGGGATCGGTTTTCACTTGTTCTTTATGCACTCAAATACCTCACAGCTATAAGGTTTACATGTTCCCAGTTCACGGGACCAGCTGAGGCTGACACAAGAATTTCCTATTCCAAATTCTAAATTCTGGGAAAATCAGGTTGGCTCAGGAGCAAACAGCCTTCACCAGGCAAGTCTGGTCTCCTGATTCCCTCTTAAAGGGGAAGCGGGAGCTTCTCAGAAAACACAGGGTAGGAGGACACACCCCCAAAGCAAATGTGTTTTTGATCATGGTGTGTCTGCTTCTTAATCTTTTGTCTACCACACCCTAAATTCATCCAGCCTTCTCACACCTATCCTTTCAGACTCACTCCCAACATCACACTCAGCCTTCACTGCTCATCCCTTTTCATCTAATGCCTTGTGCTTCCTCCCTCTCTGGGAAACTCCAAATTCTTCTCAACGCTACAAAACACTACTATCCTACGCAGAACACAACAAATACTACCTTAAAAGGTATTTTAATAAACAGGTAAATAAATAAGCCATATGTTACACATATAAGATATTTTCTTTATGGTCTCTTCTGGATTTGGAATACTACTTATTTTATACCACCATAAACACACCATATGGTCCTCTCTGCCTTGTGATGTCCATGACATAGCCTCTAGATATACTCTATCTTTCTACTTATTTTGCAACTAATACCACATAATCATTACTTAAGGATAAGACTAAGTAATCTCTTAACAAAACAGGTTTCTTTCTTTTTTTTTTTTTAAGATTTTATTTATTTATTTGACAGAGAGAAAAAAAGGGAATACAAGCAGGCAGAACAGTCTGCAGAGGGAGAAGGAGAAGCAGGCTCCCTGCCGAGCAGGGAGCCCAATGTGCGGCTGGATCCCAGGACCCTGGGATCATGACCTGAGCCGAAGGAAGATACTTAACCGACGGAGCCACTCCAGCGCCCCATAACACCTTTCAACAGAAAGAAATGCAAAACAAGCCTTTGGAAATTCAAAGCTATTTCAGGTTTTCTAACGGTCCAAAAATATAGCATAATTCCTTATGCAACAAGATACTACCTCTCTCAAGTTAAACAAAACTGACTCTTGCTCAAAGATCAGCTATTGCGTTTTCTAAGTACATTCAACTCCTAGGAACATAGAAGCCAATTTCTGATCAATTGTGAAGAATATAGCCTTTTGTTTTTTTACCTCTCTGTGGTAGTGGTAGCCATCCAACAATAGAAGATTATGGAAAACACCTTGAGCATATGCACCTTATTCATTTGCAAACCGTGGCAACTAGCTCAGTGGCCTGCATACAGCAGGTATGCAATAAATGTTTGATCCACTAGAATGTCTACTTATAATGTATACTTACATCCATTTATTTACAAATTAATACCTTATATGCATGAGGCTTTCTATATGTTCATATAAACACGTTTAAATAGATCAGCATGTTGACTATAATGCTAGAAGACAGTATTCTCAAACATTACATTTAGATCACCTAAGGATCTTATTAAAAATGCAGATTTTGATTCAGTAGCTCTAGCATGAAACCCAATATCTGCATTGCCAGTAAGTTCTCAGGTGACCCTAATGCGGCTGGTTGAAACACATTTTAATAGCAAAGTGATGCCTTTTTCAATCCCTTTAGTAGAAGGCCATCGGCAAAATAATGCAAATCATTCAAGGGTCTTCCTCACGACTGTGTTCAAGCCCTAGGAAAATGTCCAATAATGTTCTCAGGCACTCTTCTTTAATATCAGACTCAAGTCTGCAGTAAGTATTTATGTACTGAGCACTTCTGCCTGGGGGAGGAGCTACAGCAGCCTGTAGTTATTCACACAGCTTCATAAATGATAAAAACGCAACTAGAGGCTTCTCTGTATTCTCAGTGACATTCAAATAAAGAGAATGTCAGAGAATGACAGCAAAATGTGTCTGGATGTGCACATGGGGAAGGGGGCAGAGAAGCAATGGCTCAGGATGCTGTGTCCCCATGAGAGTCCTATTCATGTTCATCTCAAGAAGATTCCTTGCTCACCATCCCCAAGTTCTCATCGTTCTGCCAAGGTCTGACTCTCCTCTGTCTTCATGGTCATGGTAGTGACAGCTCTCCAGAGCTGACTACAGACCTTCCACACGTCCTCCAGTCGGATACCATGTCAAGTTTATGAAAAAATGAGACCACGGATAAGACTGGTTACATCACTCAAAAATCAGGAAAAGCAGTCCATCAGAGAATCCCTTTCCCTTTCCTTTTACCTGAGCCCTCATCGCTGCCACAGCCTAAAGAGAAAGTTCACCCAGGCCTTTTGCTATAGAATGCCCATCTGCTGGTGGCACAACAGGTCAAGGGCCAATATAAGTATCACAAGAAGTTTCTTCTTCCCTAATGCAGGACTGACCACTTGGGTGAGCTTCTTGGTTATCATTTACTTACTATAAAATTCTGAAGGCATGCAAAACCTCAAAGATAATTTGAAAATCACAGAAAGCGATCATATCCTTAATAATTCACTTGTTCATCAACAAGCAAAATTGTTGTTTATGTTATCACAGAATTCTCTTGCGAGGGGCATAAACCTAATCATATCTACAATTTAGCCTGCATTTATTTTGGCTGTACCCTGCCGCATGTATTTCCCAAACCAGGATACTCCTATCAAGGGGCAGAGGTACACAGTGCAGCAAGCCAGAGGGTAAGAGGGCCCAGACAACAAACCCAAAGAGGGACTTTGCTAGGGTTTCAATTTCAATTAAGATGTGAAGGAAGGGGAGTCAGGGAAATGTTTACTAATATAACTAATAATGAATGTACATAATTATCTTATACTCAAACATGGAATAGGATACCCAAACTTCATTAATTTTTAATAATAAAACATCAGACTAAAAAGAAATTTCCTATTTTGGGAAGCCAGCTCTTCTCTCCCTATAGGAGAACCTCTGCCAGCACACCAATCTAAGAATCAGTAGTATGTGTTTTTTTAAAATATATTTAAAAGATTAGCTATTTATCAGTACAAGGACATATTTCTCATATAAGAGCTTGAGGAAATGAGATTGACCTCCAATTAGAATGTTTCAATCTTAAGCAATTCCTTGTGAGAACTAAATCGTCAATGCTGACTGTCTTGTATTTGAATGAATAACATAACAATAACGCAAGAACAAACTTACTTCACAAATGTCATCACCAGGTAAAATTTTAAATGTTGAAGGAAGTACTCCATGAAAAAGTTAAACAAAAAAGTTGGAAAAGAGGGAAACAGCTGTAATCAGAGAGCCTGTGTGCTGCAGTCCTTCTTCCATTAATCTTATTCAGATACTATGAATACATATAGTCAACATCAAAATAATTTTCTTATTTTACATACTGAGAGCTAAAATGACTGAATATGGTACTTTCCATTATAATGATAATCCCAATCCTCAGACATCCCTACTCAAGACGAAAATACAAAGAAGGCACTCTGGAAAGGAAGGGGAGGGGAGGCCCATGTCTGATTTTTAAAGACAGAGATCCAGATACTTACCAGGCATCACTTGATATATGCTTGGCCAATACTGTCCACTGTCTCTCTTTAGCCATACACGAACAGTCCTGTAAAAGAAAAACAATACGTGTGTTAAATCACAGTGTTTTTAGTCATGAGAAAATGGTGACAGAAACCAAACCTCTTAACTTTAACTATGCTATGTCTTGATTAAATATATTACATATATTTATATAGATAGATAGATCTTAATTATAAATACTTATAAATAAATATGTAATAATACAAACATCACATAAATATATATTTATAAATATAAATATTTATAGGTATAACAAAATAAATATATTTATAAGTAACTAAATATATTATATTTACTTATATATAACTATATACGTGCACACCACTTATGCCTCTCCATAGATCCTATGTTCCTTAAATTTAAGGCTTGTGCACACTTAGAATTACACGACTCTTGAAGTATTATCCTCACATGTCTGTATACACACATGCAATAGTGAAAGTGTTTGAAAATTACTATTTTTATTGTTGTTCTGCCTGTCCAAGTTTGTGACCTTTGCCTTAGTCTGCTGGAAGCATTCATCTGTCTGGGGAGTTATTAGGTTTTACTAGTAAAGGAAGTGTGAAGAGATGAAATGAAGCATCTGACATACACAGAAGGGTTACACAGTAAATCCATAGTCTCACAGGCCAGGCCACTGTCTTGACAGAAGGTTTTTCCAGACATGGCCAGGTAACATAAACTTTGAGACTCAGATTCCTGAGCTAGAAGCTGGCCAGTGGGCCTGGATGGAACATGGAAATCCTGCAGCAAAGACTGTGAATGAAGTTCCCGGCCAGCGGTCAGATACAGACATGGCAGAGACCCAGAGGAGCTCAGAAAGAAGGTGCCAGAGAGAAAATGAAGCAGTCAGAGAGTACTACTAGGTTCTCACTAACCAGAAAGGCTCACCATGAGTTAGTTACACCAGCCATGACAGCATCTGCACAGGCCAACAAGGCAAACACATCTAGAAGGTAATGGAACATTCTTCTAGAGACCAGAGGCAGTAGGAGAAATCAAACCAAGAGAAATAAGCAGTTCCCTACTGGTGGGAGATCCCACATACCACACCACTCACCCCACACACTTAAATCATCCCAGGCTAAAAAGCAAAGACAGAGCATATTTATCTCACACTATTTAAGTCAACGTACTAGACTAAGTTTTAAATTATATTGGATTTTTCAAAAAAATTAAAAAAAATAAAAAATAAATTGTATTGGATTTTTCCCCCTTATCAATGATCTCCTATATGGAGTACTAGGAGAAAAACTAGACCAAATACAGACACAATAAAGAAATACCATTTTCTCCCCACAGCCACAAGATACAATGTAGCGATATACAGTGACACGATTACATATACATGCAAAAATTCCATCTTCTGGTTCAACTATCCTAGTTTATAGGATGGACAGATATAACTGCAAATAATTTGTAAAAAGTAATTCCATACGTATACTATTTATATACATAGTGCTACACTTAATTTTTTTAGAATATGCTGGTATGACATTTTAATATGGACATTGTTATCTCAACAAAAATAAATACGGGTGACATCACAGAGAAAGGCACAGTGAGAAGCTCCAGGAACCAGTCCCTATACCAAATCAGCTACTGAGCCAGTGTCAGAATCACTATTTTAGAACTCTGAAGTCTAGTTAGGCACTTGCAGCATCTAAAAATCACAAATATGTGGAAATCAAACAACATAACCTTAAACAACAGAAGATCAAAGAAAAATCGCTAGGAAAATCAGAATATATTTTGAAATGAATGAAAATAAAGACACAACATAAAATCAGTGAGGGGAAGTGAAAGCAGTACTCAGAGGATAACTGATAGTAAACGCCTATATTAAAATAGAAGAAAGACCTCAAATCAACAAACTTATTTTACACTTTATGGTACTAAAAGCACAAAAGCACACAAACCCAAAGCCAGCAGATAAAAGTACATAATAAAGATTAGAACAGAAAAAAACAAAAGAGAGATTAAAAACCAAAGACAGTATCAGTGAAACTAAAATGTGGTTCTTTGAAAAGTTCACCAAAATTAAGCTTCAGCTAAACTAATTACAAAAAAAAAAAGAATGTAAATAATTGAAATCAGAAATGAAAGTGGGAGCATTACTACTTAAAAGAAATGAATTATAATACTATGAACAACTGTACGTCAGTAAATTGGATAATCTAGATTAAATGGAAAAAAACTCCAGAAACACACAATCTACCAAAACTAACTCAAAAAGAAATAATCTCAACAGGCCTAGAACAATTCAAGAGATAGAACCAGTAATCATAAATAATAGTGCAGGACCAGATGCCTTCACTGAATTCACTGAATTCAATCAAACTCTTAAAGAATGAACAACCTTCCAAAAAATAAAGAGGAAGGACTATTTACTTTCTAACATTTTATGAGGCCAGCATTATCTTATACCAAAGTCAAAGATACCACAAGAAAATAACAGTCCTGGGGTGCCTGGGTGGCTCAGTGGGTTAAAGCCTCTGCCTTCGGCTCAGGTCATGATCCCAGGGTCCTGGGAATGAGCCCTGCATCGGGCTCTCTGCTCGGCAGGGAACCTGCTTCCCTTCCCCTCTCTGACTGCCTCTCTGCCTACTTGTGATCTCTGTCAAATGAATAAATAAAATCTTCAAAAAAAAAAAAAAACAAAAAACCAGTCCCGCATCCCTTATCAATACAGATAAAAAAAAAACCTCAACAAAATTCTAGCAAACCAAATCAAACAGCACACCAAAAGTATTACATGCTATGATCAAGTGCAATCTGTCAAAGGAATACAAGGGCGGTTCAACATAAGAATGTCAATCAGTGTAATGTAGCACATTAACAAGATGACGGGGAAAAGAAAACACAGATGATTATTTCAGCAAACACAAAAGCACATGACAAAATCCAACAACCTTTCATGATAAATAACACTCAGCAAACAAGGAATGAAAGGAAGTTTTCTCAACCTGATAAAAGATATTCTTTAAAAACTCACAGCTAACAACATACTCAATGGTAAAGACTGAAAGCTTTCTCCCTAAAATCAAGTACAAGATGAAGATGCCCACTTCCACCACTGCTTTTGAACATTACTAGAAGTCCTGGTCAGAGTAATTAGGCAAACAGAAGAAATGTAAGGCATCCAAATTGGAAAGGAAGAAGTAAAACTATCTGTATTTGCAAAGGACATGATTCTACATACAAAAAATCCCCACAAATCCACAAAAGAACTACTAAAGCTCATAAACAAATTAAGCAAAATTGCATGGTACAGAAATCAATACACAAAAATCAGGTGTGTTTCTATATACCAGCAACAAGAATTGTGAAAAGAAAATTAAGAGAAAAATTCCATTTATAATAGCATCCAAAAGAATAAAACCCCTAGAAATATATTTAACCAAGTAAGTGAAGACCTTGCACAGTGACAACTACAAACACTGCTGAAAGAAATTAAAGAAGACACAATGGGATTGGGAAGGTATCCCATGTTCATCAACTGGGAGAGCGGATATTAATACGACAACACTCCCCAAAGCAATCTACAAACTGAATGCAATCCCCTCAAAACTCCAACAGCTTTTACTGCAGACATGGAAACATCAATCTTCAAATCTATGTGGAATGACAAAAAGCCCCAAATAGCCTCAACAATATTGGAAAGAAAAACAAAAGTTGGAGGCCTCCCAATTCCTTATTTCAGAACTTACTACAAAGTTTCAGTAATCAAAACAGCATAGTATTATTAGCAGAAGCATAGATGTGAATCAACAGAGCAGAGCTGAGAGTCCAGGTATAGGTGCAAACAAACACCTACGGACCATAAATTTTTGACGAGGGTGTCAAGATACTTCAACATGAAAAGAATAATCTCTTCAACAGATGGTACTAGAACAACTAGATAACCACATTCAGAGAAATGAAGTTGGACCCCAACTTCACATACAAAAACTAGGGATGGATTAATGACCTGAATATCAAAGCTGAAACTAAAAACTATTAAAGGAGAACACAGAGGCACATCTTCATGACCCTGACTTCAACAATGGACTCTTGAGTTGGACACGACAGCCTGAGCACAAAAAATAAATAAGTAAGTTAGACCTCATAAAAATTCAAAACTTTTGTGTAACAGAGACATCATCAAGAATGGGAGGACAAGCTACAGAATGGGAGAAAATGTTTGCAAATCAGATGATGGAGATTTAGTACCCATACTATGTAAGAAACTCTTATAACTCAACAAAAACAAAATGACAAGCAACCCAATTAAAGGGTGGACAAAGGGCTTTAGTGGACATTTTCCCAAAGATTAACAAGTAGACAAAAAACACATAAAAAGATATTTGACATCACTGGTCAACAGGGAATGCAAATCAAAGCCACAGTAAGATAGCATTTCCCACTCACTATGAAGGCCTATAATAATTTTTTTTATGGAAGTTAAGTGTTCTAGAGGCTATAGTGAATAGGAACACTCATACATTCCTCAAAGGAATGTAAAATGATGCAGCCACTGTTGAAACTAGTTTGACAGTTCCTCAAAAAAACAGCAAACCATATGACCCACTAATTCCACTCCTAGGTATGTGCCCAGAAGAACTGAAAACACGTATGCAAACAGGTATGTCTTCATGTATGTTCATAACAGTACAATTCTTGCCATTTGCTACAACATGGATGGATCAAGAGGATAACGCTAGGTGAAATAAGTCAGTCAGAGAGACAAATACCGTATGATTTCACTCATGTGGAATTCAAGAAATAACAGACTTTTTTTTTTTTTTTGAAGATTTTATTTATTTATTTGACAGAGAGACAGATCGCAAGTAGGCAGAGAGGCAGGCAGAGAGAGAGGGAGAAGCAGGCTTCCCGCTAAGCAGAGAGGCCGACTCAGGGCTCGATCCCAGGACCCTGAGACCATGACCTGAGCCAAAAGCAGAGGCTTAACCCACTGAGCCACCCAAGCGCCCCAAGAAATAACGGACTTTTAAAGATAGAGCACAAACTGGTGGTCGCCAGAGG